CGCGGGCTCGGCCGCCCTACTGCGGGCGCAGGACCCAGATTTTGGGGGGGGGGGGGAAGCAAGGAGAGAGACCAGCGAACATCCATTCACCAATCTCCTGCCCGCTGAATGGAGCTGGAACCGATGCGGATTGCATCACTTCCGGCTCCTCAGCGGTTATTCCCCGGCTAGAGAAGCCACGGAAGAAGCTGATCAAGCATGATCTGCGCTTGAATATCTTCTTTAAAGTGGAAAGGTGACACTAGGGGTCAAAGTGTAAAAAACGACGATTGTGCTATACACGGCAGGTACTGCCGCATGTGCCAGCATGACCGAAATAATTCTAGGGCCAATATTCACTGTTAACTCTAAACTGATGACCTTTTAACCCCTTCGTGACTGTACGTCGCCAGCATCGGGGCTGTTTAAACAGACTCCCGGCGACTTTTGCCGCCGGGACTCTGTTTAAAATTGTAGAGCCGACTGTCGGCTTTACAACGCTTCTGTGTCCCGAAGAAGGGGCCGTTCATCCATCCCCTCCCCGTTCTATGGGACCGGGAGGGATGCAGATTGCATCACTTCCGGTCCCTGGGCTGTCAGTTCTGGGCTCCTGCAGCCCAGCTATAAGCTATTGAAGTGCGATCTGCACTTCAATAGCTTATTTCCAGTGTAAAGGTGACACTGGGGGTCTTTTGGACCCCCAGCATCACCTTAAAGAGTACCTGTCACGACCATCTGCTATCACATGGGGGGGCTTGTAAGCCCCTCTATGTGATAGCAGTCAAAGTAAAGTTAAAAAAAAAAAAAAAGCTTTTTCAATTAAAATTAAATAAAATCAATCTAATAATAATAAAAAAAAAAAATTTTTAAAGTCCCCCACGCGAGCACGCGCGTTGCCATGTAAACACGCGTCGGGTGCGCCTACGCATGAAAACGACGAACACGCTACACATGTTGGGTATCGCCGCGCACGCCGGAGTGAGAGCAATAATTCTAGGGCCAGTATTTTGGGGTATCTCTAAATTGATGACCTGTGGGGGCTTTTAAAGCGTCTTCTATTGACTTTTTGGGGTACTGCAGTTTTTCGCCGTTTCACGGACGCACGCAATTTGTAACCTATGCATGTTGGGTATCGTTTTACTCGTTGTAACCTCATCTTTTATATGTCATTTAAAAAATTGGTATTTTGTTGTGTTTTGGGGCATTAAATTAAATTTTTCACTAAATGTTGGGGTTTAATAAGGAGTTGCGCTAATATTGCGCAACATAAAAATTTGCAACTACCACCATTTTATTCTATAGGGTCTTGGCATTCAGAAAATATATAATGTTGGGGGGTTTTAAGTCATTTTCAGGCCTAAAATGTGGAATATAACATGGGTGCAAAAAATGAAAAAAGGGCCTCAGTCATGAAGGGGTTAAAGTGTTGCCTATCGACAATTTTGGGTACTGTATTTCGCCATTTCACAGGCGCACACAATTTTCAATAAAAAAAAAAAAAAAAAAAATTGTGTTTTGTGCACTAAAATTTACTTAAGTGCAATTTTTACTGCAATTTTGGGTTTGATAAGGCGTGCTAATATCAAGCGACGTAAAAATTTGCAACGGTCACTATTTTATTCTACAGGGTCTGTGCTTTCAGAAAATATATAGCTCTCGAGGAGTTTTATATAATTTTCAGGCCTAAATTCTGGATTACTATGTGTGCAAAAAACCGCCATGGCAGCAAAAAGGTTAAAAAGTTCTCCACATACACAGAACTGGACACCTTTTAAATGGGTATTGGATTGGCTGTGAAGCAGCTTTCATTACAGGCTGTTATGCTAGCAGTCTATTGGACTTATTCATTCAGACAAGGAAACTGCAGTAGTAGGAACCCTCGTTACCCAATTAGAATTGATTTTCATTACTCTCTCTGTGCCATACTGATGATGGTGAAATCAGATTGGTTGCTATGGCAGCTGTGCTTTGTACATCATCACTGCTCCCTGCATTGGCTGTAAGTTGCTTAATGCCAATTTTTCAGTTCTAAAATCTTGTTGTGCTTTGAGGATAGTTCAGAAAATAAGACTAAAGCAAGAAATCTACAAGTCATCTGCTTTATCTTCTATTGATCCTAAAAATGAAGGAACAGAACACATTATGCCTTATATAAACAGAACATAAGAAACTAGAAGCAATGCATGTAGAAACTAATCATGCCTTAGGTTTAACTCTGCAATGCAGACTATAAAAGTGGCATCTGAAATGTAATCAGCTTCTGCAGGCATCATCTTCAGTTTTCCTTCCTTCCGATCTTACACTAGGCCCAGTCTGAGTTTATTATAATGTGGATCTTATCCAAAAACTCTGACTACTACTCACAAGTAACATTAAAACTGCCACCACTCCATAACCAGACTATGATGCATCATTAAAGCTGAACTCCAGACAGATATAGAGAACAGTGTGTAATGCAGCTATGTATTTAATAAAAATCATAATGGTCCCATTCACTTATGTGTTGTGGTAATGGCAGAGAAAGCATGCGTTTTACTGCTTCTAACTGGAAAGGCTGCACCAGCAGTCCTGCATTGCACTGGAGGACACCAAGGGCTCTGCCACATTCCGGAGCATGGGACAGTGAAGGAGAGCGCTGACTTTCTGGGCAGCAGGAAATACGGCAAATACAGTAAATCACCACTCTCATTATCCCCAAGCATAACAAGCAATTAACACTTGAAGTGGGGAACACTGCAATTGCAAATGTTTTTCGCTCTGGAGTACAAATTTGACTCTCGATTGGCCACTCTTATCCCATTTATAAACAAACAGACCTAAGGCAACAACAACAAATTAAACCATTCAAGTTTCCTTTTATTACCATGGCTTTCTCTGCTTTTATTTTTCTATGAGATGACAAATACAGCACACCTATAGAAGTTATTTTTAGGGCTGCAGCAATGGTAGCTGTGAGGAAGTAGTTCACCGTACAATTAAAGTGACATTAAAGTCAAAGTCCCAATCCTGCTGTAGGGACTTGCCTTAAATGATGCCTCTGTGATCTGATCATCTTCTTCCAATTAGTTTCCAGCAGTCCCTCCAGCGCTGGTGCCGGTATCTGATTCAGCGCTGACTGCTGTGTCCCACGGAGTCTGTCCGGCGTGCACGATCACGGCTGCGTGCATTGACTTCTATTGAGTCTCTCCTCTTGTCCCCTCTGACGATCTTCCTGCATGGCGGTTGGGGGAAGCTGAATGCTGCAGATGGGAGCGAGCGGCGGGGACAGAGGAAAGTATTTACCTCTTTGGTAACTTTTATTTATTCTTTTTATGTTTTTGCACATATCTACTGCTTGCTAGCAGTTGATGCATGTAAAAACAAAAAGAGAAAAATATATACAAGACTTTAATTCTACTTTAGGCCCCGTTCACACCAGGGCGATTTTCTGCGTTGAAATACAGCAAACAAAATCCCATACATTCCAATGTGTGCCGATCACGCGTACAAATACGTCTGTCCCTTGAAATAGTCCCCGAGCTTCTTTTGTCACGCTGATCAGCTCGCTCCATAGACGTTAATGGAAACGGGCTGAGCCGCACATTTCTATACATGATTTAAGCAGCTATGCCTGCTTCTCATTGGACAACTGAAAACGAGATTAAAAAATGCGCTGACATATGAACAGAGGAGCACAAGGGGCTTGGGCTACCTCCTGACAAACCTGCACCCAATTTTATCTTTTGCTACATGTGCAGGAACTCGAACTACATGTGCAGGAACTAAGTAGGAACTGCCCTAGCAGATAAAATAAGTACAGTGATACCTTGGTTTACGAGCATAATTCGTTCCAGAAGCATGCTTGTAATCCAAAGCGCTTGTATATCAAAGCGAATTTCCCCATAGGAAATAATGGAAATTCAGATGATACGTTCCACAACCCAAAAATATTCATATAAAAATGATCACAATACTGTAATATAAACCTGTACAAAATATAAAGAAAACTAAACCAATTACAGGTACCTTCGTGGCTGGTGAGAGGGGGACAAGAGAGGAGGATTATTGTGTAGGACGACTTTCACTATCACTAATGGAATCACTGCTATCTCTTGACTCAATGGAATCTTTTTCATTTCGTGAAACCTTAACAAGGAATCTATCCAATGTGACATGCATTGTCGTTAAACAGACTCATCGCTCGCACTGCTACAGCCTTGTTCGGGTGGTGCTTTTCTACAAAATTTTGCTCTTCTTGCAAGACATTGCTTGTATATCAAAGCAACATTTTTCAGAAATGTTTGCTTGTCTTACAAAACACTCTCAAACCAAGTTACTGGTAAACCAAGGTATTACTGTATAGCACAGGCCCCACTTCATTTCCCTTACATTGTAGCTTTATAAAGAAGGAAAGAGGGGAGAGAAGAGAGAAAACATTCCTGAGCTGTGACGGCCGCACGGCGCCCTTGTTGCCATGGCGCCCTGTGCGGCCGCACGGCTCGCACACCCCTAAGGCCGGCCCTGCCTCCCAGCACTCAGCCCCCTATCCTCCTTTATGTTATCCCTTAACCTAACATTCTTGGATTCACCTATTGCTTTCATATTATCCTTTACCCCAAAAATGTCCTAGGACTTATTCCTTCCCCCCTTCATGTGCATCCATCCATCCCACAATAACTGTTTTGGCAATGCTATAATGTATTTGGTCCTACCATTAAAGCTTATTTGAATTGGAGAGGGAGACACACAACACTGAGGTCTCTGTTGCATACATTTGCAAATGCACATTGAAACCACACTGCCACATCAAGGTACCTCTACATAAGGGGCAGTCCCTACCATCTGCCTTGTCAACTGGGGGACAGATATAGCTGAGGGCAGTTTGTGCATTATTTTTTATTAATAATAATAATAAACCTGAAAAATAAACACATCTGGTTTTCCTAATTTAACAAACAACAGGATTCACTCAGTGAGTAACAAGATGTGCTCCTCATACCACAAATGAAAACACAACATACCTGATATGACAGCTTCTCCCTTCCATGCAACATAGATATAAAGGTTTCCAAAAAGCATACTGTCAAAAACAAATGACAACTTGTTGGAATATATTCGATAGCAAGGTGTAAGAACAATGAAATACTGCAACCTATAGGATCTGGAAATTATATTTCTGCAGTGGCAGACTTGATTTCTACTTATTTGCTAAACATCTACTCATTAAACAAACAGGAAGAAGCCATAGCTCACCTGAACTGCAGTAGGGCCCAGAAGATACCACTGTTCCGCCCAATTGTCTTGTCATCTGAGTTTATAGTCAGACAGGTGCCTTGAGCAGTCCAGAGCACTGGGGAAGAAAATAAAGAATGGCCCGTACTGTGAAGGATTATTTCTAGCAGTCAACAAATACATTATGCTGGGACAGTGTTTATGAAAGCAAAACAAACGACAAACGCACTCAACAATTTGTTATCCCTCTGTATTTTTTTTTTTTTAACTTATTCTGTTCTGAAGCATGGAATTCCTCTTCACTGACCCTGTGATGTTATCACAGAGCCCCAAGACCTCTTCAGAGTGAGAGTTATCAGTGGTTAGAATGCCGATAACCCTGCTAAATGTACGCAATCCCACAGCCCTGTAGTCCTAATGGCTACAGTGGCTGCACAGTGCTAGTTGGGTGCCAGCATCTTTGATGGGGCTGCTGACATCACATCCAAAATGCTGTCACCCAACAGCAGTCTCAGGGCTTTTGGAGATCTACACAAGGGAGGCTTGTAAATAACATGCACAAAATAAAGATTTGGCGCCAAGTTTGCACAGCACTTTACAAAATGGGAGAGTGTACAGTTACAATACAATTTCAACACAGGAGGGCTAGGAGGGCCCTGCTTGTGAGAGCTTACAATTTAGGAGGGGCAAGTGATACAAAAACGTAATAATTGTGTGGAATGATTTCATGGAAGAAGTAAAAAGGACAGTTTTTATGTTATGGTGGGATAGGCTTCCCTGCAGAGATGAGTTTTCCAAGGATCGCCTATATGTGGACAAAGTAGGAGATAAGCTGACAGATTGGGGTAGAGAGTTCCAGGAGACAGTCTGGAAAAGTCCTGGAGGCCAGCATGGGAGGAGGTGACGAGAGAGTTGGAGGTCTTGAAAGAGGAGCGGAGGACGGTTTGGGTGATATTTTGAGATGAGGTTGGTGATGTAGTTTGGGGCAGATTTTTAGATGGCTTTGTATGTTGTTGTAATTAGTATTTTGCATTTTATTTGTTGGGCAAGTGGGAGCCAGTGGTGAGATTGACAGAGAGGGAATGGACACTAAATGGTTGGCAAGGTGGATGAGTCTGGCAGCACCACTCATGACAGACTGAAGGGGGGATAGCCTGTTTAGTGGTAGGCCAACAAGGAGGGAGTTACAGTAGTTAAGGAGAGAGATTACAAGGGAGTGAATTAGAAGCTTTGCGGTGTCATTTGTTAAAAAGAATATGCACAAGATTTTGTTTGAAATGAAGGTCTGGGAAGGGTCATTTTGAGCACCCAGAACTTCCACATGTGCATGATACCTGTTGCGGGTGGGTTGCGGGACAAGTAGCTTTTGACCCTTTCCTTTGGTTTTTCTTTTTTAAGCTTTTTAAATCTGAAGACAATGTCACTTTAAGGCTCTGAGTCAGCAGAACAGTCAAGAAACTAGTATTTTCAAAAGCAAGTCAGCCACGGTTGCCCTTATATTTCTGTCATGACCAAGGATGAAGGAGAACATCTTTTAAATAAAAGCACAAAAGTCTCACCGGCAGCAGCAATCCCGATTAAAACTGACAACGTGTAAAATGACCAGGTGTATGGCTGGATGAACATTGCAATGTAGGCACTAAAAGAAAAAAACGAAGAAGTCGTCAGTACAAATAAATAATTCACGTTTGCTTAGCTAGTCTTCTACCATACGCAATGAGGTATGTTGAAAAAAATAAATCCCAGTTTCAGGGCAATGATAATGATATTGAGCAGGAGGGAGAGAGTATGGGTCAGTGCCTCCAGTGCAGGCTGGCCTGCAGAGGCAAGGTTATCCATTGCATCCGAACGATCTGCCAACCCTCAGATTAGTTGGCTAGGACTGCTTGCTGCTGCCCATTATTGCTTCATCTGGCAGAAGGAAAATGGTTTTGGGGCCAAACATGTATATTTTTAATGCATACTGTATTGTTATTGTAATACCTACTCTAGCAACATTATTGGTACAGGTTTAAATTCTTGTACAGTGAAATTCTTGCAATATGCAGATGGCACCGTATGAACGTGTGCCATCAGCAATCTTGATAAATGAGTGCCAATTACAATTTGATTGTAGGTCATCCTTTAGATCTACCAACAACTATGTAAAGCAAGGGCCTACCTAAATGGTTGCAGAAGATTTGTGGAAATATGTAGGTCAGATAGTAACTTAAAAGCGACCAACATGAGATGCAGATTGGATGAACACATGATCTGACCACCTTTCTCTCATACAAAAGGTCTTTCTATAAACATGCATGCTCCGATTGCTGCTCAGATGCATGCTTGCATTGGTATCTAACCAGGTTATGCTGCTTTGAACTGTCTGTCAACAGTTTAACCATGCTTATGGGTGTAGAAATCATGGTGCAATGCTATTTCACAGTCAAATAGCAAGCTGGTTGGGGGACCAAGCTGTATAGCTTTGCAGAGAGGTGAGTGTTCTCATTAGCGATCAAAATAATTTTAATCGATTAAAAAGTTTAACGATTAATCGAGAAATTAATCTTTAATTTTCACAGCCCTACTTAAAAGCAGCAAAGAAAAGTGAGGTCAACAGCCCACAGGGAGAAGAACTCCACAATTTAGGTAATGGGGGGGCTGCTGGATTTGACTATGTTTTATGTTAAACCCTGAATACGGATGTAACACAAAAAGGTAAGAAAAGTAGAGTTATTCTTTAAAATATAGTGAAATGTCACATTGCCAATTTGCTTTGCACATTCCCTACTACCTCTAACCCACAGATAAGCGTCTGTAGGTATAATAATAGGACTAAAATGGAGAGATCAGCATTTTCTGCCATGGCTGCTGAACTGGAAGCTGCCACCCTCAGGTTGTGTGTTTGAGCTTCTCTAGATCACAGCACAATAGGATGTCTCATCTTATCTCCCTGGTTTTATTGATAAGGGGAGAAGAGTCATACTGTCTGAGAAGATGGCAGCCCAGTTCAGTATGCACCAGCCTGATCAGAGCGTAACTGGAAAAGAAGAAAAAAAAAAAAAAGACTGCCAGGAGACAACATGCTATACTGTATGTTCGACTGCATCATTAATTCATCAATTCCCTATAGCAAATAGACATAGATTTAATTTAAACAAAAAAAACAAACCGCATCTGCAAGCATATTTGGAGCCACTGCCTTAGGTTACCTTTTAGATTCAGTCATAGGGCATGGTCATCCTATTGAATGCAATTGTAACATTTCAATAGTAGTTACGTACCTGTAAAATATACCACTCAGGAACATTGATAGTTGACAGCCAATCAAGGCAACTACAGAAGGTGCTATGAGATTGGAGGCTGAAAACACTCCATATATGATGGCCATGCTGTGAATAAAACAAATACATCATATGTATGCTGCAGACTGTTCTTTTTAGATATCTTGTATTTTAGCTTTAGCTGATCTTTTAAGGCCCCATTCACTCAGGCGTTCTAGGATTCCTGCAGCAAGCACTTACATATTTCTGGAGCAAGAATCCCAGGTTACATGCAGACTAGCGCTGAGTGATGCAGTTGCACCTGAATGGCGACGCCTAGCATTCCTGCCACAAAAATCCATAGGTTCTTGCTGCAAGAATCCCAGAACGTTCTGTGTGAGCAGAGCCTAAAAGGACCGTTATGAAAATACATGGGGGGGAGGATAAGTACTAAAACTGGAGCAGACAGAATCTGGAGGAGCTGTGCATAGCAACCAATCAGCATCCACCTTAAGCTTTGAAAATAAAAGCTAGAAGCTGACTGGGGACCATGCACAGCTGCACTAGATCCGGTCTGCATTCACACAGACTTGTATGGGAAGAGAAACAGTTCTGATGCCAGTAAGGCAAGGTAACCACAATTAACTTTCTGGCTTTAGCAAAGTTGCAAGTTTGCTGGACATCATTACTAGTCCCCTGGCCGATTTCACTTGTTGAATGGGGGCTGCGCTTTAAACATTTTTGGGGCGGCATGCCAACAGGGTAAGATTTTACTGCCCTTGCTAGAAACAGGTAATTTTTTACATTACATTCAACATACCTCGTATAACCACTGCCATGGAATTCAGTGTTATTTAAGCTGGAGATGATGGTTTGCTGTGGAGAAGAAAAAAAAAAAAAACGTGTTACAAAAATAATAGTGTTTGTCACTTCGTGTGAAAGCAAAAAGAATCCCTGAAATGATAAACTTACCCTTGCAGTGGGGCTACCCCCAACACTGCAGGGGTTAAGTGCTGGCTTTGTCTAGGGGGCTCAAATATGTTTTACGTAACAAGTCAAAAGTCACTTGCACTCCATTTCAAATTATAGTCAATCTTCTTTATTGACCATGGTAGTGTCACATTACTAAGCAACGTTTCCGAATCAAGTGGTCCCTTCTTCAGGCAAACAAAAGCGCTGAAGGAGAGACCACTTGGTTCTGAAACGTCGCTCAGCAATGGGACACTACCATGGTCAATAAAGAAGATTGACTATAATTTGAAATGGAGTGCAAGTGACTTTTGACTTGTTACGTTTGATATGAAGAGGCATCTGCAGTCACTTTAAGTACCCACCCAACTTTTTTGTGGGTTCAATCCGGTCAGGAGTGCGATGGGATCTACTATGTATCAAATATGTTTTACTCACCTGATCCTCGGTCCTGTGGATGTCGGCACTCACCTCTCTCCAACTATGGAATGTTCCTCAGCATCCTCACGTCTAATGCAGGTCAATGGTCCTGCATAAGATGGGATGACGTCAGCAGTCCATAGACAGCCGGAGCCAAGGGGAGAAAAGATGCGGGGACCAGTCTAGCAGCCCAGAGGGAGAGATGATCAGGTAAGTAAATCTGCTTTGAGTGCCTTGGACAAAAGGAGCACTTAAAGGGTTAAGTGGGGGTGTAGCCCCACTGCAAGGGTACGTTTTTATTTTTGCGGAGCTCTCCTTTAAGTCATCAGTGTTATTTGGCATTTTTTTTGGGGGGTATCTTTAATACATCCTTGAGAAAATTCATTAACTGATCTCTTTGATGACATCAATGGCTTGTTTTTACTATACATATGAATAGCTAGAATAGAACAGCTCAAGGAAAATGATATATTCGTTACAGAGCAGATCGCAAACAAAGCTAGCTCCAACTAGGGAGATTTTTGCTTTTTTTGTGTAATGCAGAACAGCGACTGACAATGTTACTCCAATGTCATCTGACTCATCATTACCGGGAGACAGCAATCTAACCAACCACACCAACATATCCACTGGCAGTGCTGGGAAGTAGGAAGACGTTCATGATGAGTAATCAGATTCCTGATTGGTTAGCCTCATCATTGTCTCAACCCGCATTGGTAAAGATGAGAGATTATCGAATTCTAAATCGAAGATTATTATTCAGGGCTCCAGTTCCATACCCCTGGTTCCCATCATTTGGTTCCTTTAAGCCCTGCTCTACAATACACATTAACCTTTTGCCGTCCGCCCGTAGTAAAAAAACGGACGGACGGCACTGCAGCATCTGCGGGTTGCCGTCTCTCCGTCTCTAAAATGGCCTGGATGGGAAGGGGGTTTAACACCGCGGATGTCAACTGGTTAAACCACAACAAAGATATAGCCAACTTTCCAATCCTCCATGATAGTTATAGTAAAAAAAAAATATGGCCTCTCAGTGACTTCACCGACAGATGTGAAGACCAATCTCTGAAGTAGAGTGCTAGCAGGGAGCAGATTGTGGAAGACTGTAAAAGTCAACATGACAAAGCTCGGGATGGCGCAGGGGTTCACTAAAAGGAATGACGTTGTTACTCTTGTGGTTTTGTGTTACACTGGTGACTATTCTTGCTTGCTGATCGGAGGTATCTGAAGGACCATTAACTCCCCTCATCCCCATCTGTTCTGCAGAAAAAGTATTATGAAATGGAAAGTCTGGTGTCTATTAATCTCTATACTAAAGGAGAACAGCAGGGTTCCAGTATGAAGGCATTATACCCCACACAGGAGGAACAACAACCCCATCACAAGTAGAAGTATTCCATAAAACCTCTAACGAATCTAGATTTTCTATCTTGCTTACATGCTTTAAATAGAACTAGAAATTTGTATTGGGCAATAACTGGTTGATGTTTTCTAAAATAGGGCTAAGGGTCAGACCATAATCTGCATAACATCAATGTGGCTGCATGCTCTCATAGGAAGACAGCAGCACTGTTTTCCTGAGTCCGGACTTCCTAAAGTAGTAGAACTACAACTAATATCTTTTTTTTTGTCAGGAAAGGTTATATTTTGTTGGGTTTTTACTAGGGTTGCACTGATACTTTGAGTGCCAATGCCGATACTTGGCATTTTCATGAGAACTACCAGGGTTGCAGCTGGGACCTGGCTCTGGCGCTCCACCACTGTCCTGAAATCATTAGTCTGTATTGTTTTAGAAAAACTGTCACATGACAACAAAAATGTATCAGTACTCGTATCTGTGAGTACTTGGGCGAGTACCAGTAATTATACTCGCAAAACTAGTATCGGTGCATAACTTATATATATTTATAAAAACAAAATCATACATTAAAAACAGAGATGTACAAATCCCAGGAGCTCCGTGTGCTCCTTACAAATGACCGCGGCCTCCTAACTTTATAATTTTTCTCTTGTCTAGTCTTGGAGCTGGAAAAGTATCTGTACATGTACCGAGTACTGTACTTGGTATCGGTGCATCCCTAGTTTTTACTGCGGTCTGCATCACCACTCTGAATATTTCTCATCACTTCCTGTTTGATGACTAAAGCTGGGCACACACAGAGCGATTTTCAACCGATTTACCAGGAATTGGCTGAAATGCAATCCATAGGTGGCTCTATCCCCTTGACAGAAGTCTATCTAATGATCGTCATCAAACAGGAAGTGGTGAGAAATCTTCCCAGTGGAGAAGCAGCCAGCAATAAAAACCCAAGATTGAATATAATTATTCCCCACAAATCAAAAGGCCAAAAAGGGACATGCTGGAGAAATCTTCAGCCGAACAGTGCTTGCTAGCGACTCACTGCAAGCACTGTTCAAGTATTTCAACAGCGGCCTGTGCCGCTGTCAGAATACAAAGCACACAGTGGGAGATTCTTTTATCCATGCTGTTAGTGTGGTTTGAGGAATCTAATTTTTTTATTAACCCTGCAAGGCTGAAAATAAAAATAAAATACATTTACCATGTATTTGCAACCTAATCTCAACAATCCAACAAAACCTCTGTAACCGGGCAAAGGCAGCAATAAAAGCACTGGAGTCCCATTGGGGACATTTCTTTAGTTTCCTTTCCCAGAGACACAACAGGAAGTGGGGGAATCTCTCCACAGTTAGGAGAATCCAACCATCGTCAATTGTCACTACAACCGGTTTCCCTTATTTCTGTAAAAGACATAAAATATCTCCTTTTCTCTCAGGGCACACAGAGCGTGAATCTCTCCATTAGGGACATTAGCAGAAATAAAGACTAGGGATGCACCAAAATGAAATTTTTAGACCAAAACTGAAACCAAAAACGACTTTTTCCAGCCTTTTAAAAATGTTTAAATTATTGATTTACTTTACTATAGGGGGCTCTAAACAGACCTCTGATATTTCCCTTTCAAAATAGAAAAAAGGGACTGAGGACACAGAGTCCCAGATCTCTTATTTTTGTAGCCCCTGTTATGAATAAACAGGAAGCCTCTATACTGAGTGTTCCTGTCCATTCATAAACTGTGGCGATAGTATCAGTTACTATGTCCCCAATCATGAATGAACAGGAAGTGATGTAGAACACCTCCCATTCATTCATAACTGGGGACACAGCAAGCATACTATCATTTCTGATCGCTGAGTGCTTGTAACCCGCTCTCTATCCTAAGTCCTCCACTTGTCACAGGAGGCTGAGGAGGGCAGTATGGGAGGAGATCTTGGCCTCCTGTGACTGCTGTCTACTCCCTGCACTGCCCAGCTCAGCATCCTGAGTGCTGTCTCCTCCTGCACCGCCCTGCTCTGCTTCCTGAAAGCTTCTTTCCTTCTCACTAGGCACCAGCAGCTGGATCCTCTGTATCCCCTTGGATCCCTGCTGCCTCTGACAACACAGGCAGGGGAGAACAGTGGGCATTGGAGGGGGACACAGACCTGCGTCCAGCGGGGAGGACAGAAGCTATCACGATGCTCTGAGTTTTCAGCCGTTATGGTACTCTCCGCATTGTGCCCAATTAACGTTTTTCGCCCCTATTAAAGACCTAACAGGGGTTTCAACACTTCCCCATCTACCCAAACATTAAAAAAAAAAAAAAACGCTTTTAATATTCTTTATGTTAAAAGAACACTACACTAACATACCTAAAGGGAAAGGGTCGGCACAAAATAAGATATACAAGTGATAAAAACACTAACAGAACTCTTTTGAAAAAAAATTGTGTAAGGTTTAAAAAGGACATTGATAAGCTTTCTTCTTAAAGACATACCGCAACATTGCCGCAAGTCTGAAAAGCGGTGAACATGAACATGAAGGCAAAGCCCAAGATGAAAATGTTCAGCAGTTTCTTCCGTTCTGGAGTCATGGTTTCTCCTTTGGGGTGGACTGATTACCAGATGAGCAGCAGACACAAGCCTGAATCCACCTCCTGTACAGAGGGTGAAAGAGAAACAGCCATTAGTAATAAAAGTGTTTACCATTTAGGGAACTGTTATTTAAATGCAATGTATCCTGTTTATCCAGTTTTGTTTTTTTTAACTTCAACATAATAAAAAAGGCAAACAAAACATACATACATATAACATTTTTGTCTTGCATGTAAAATCCCTTCCTTGGAGCACATTACAGGACACAGGATTATAGTTCTGAATCCATGGGTTATGTTGCCACCTTCAGGAGATTGAACACTAGCAAAGCAATGTTGTAAGGAAAGCGTAGTACACCCCTCCCACTCCCAGTAAGCCTCAGTTTTGTCACAAGCAATAATGGGCAAGGGTCATAAAGAAAGGGGAGGAACTTGTGTCCTGTAACTTTCTCCAAGAAAAAAGATTTTACAGGCAAGACAAAAATCCTATTTACTTAGAGAACTATGGGGTCAGGGCTTTTCCCCCCAGTTCTCCTAAGGGTAACGGGAGGACACAAAATAGCGTCCTCCCGTCACCCAAAGCTCAGTATACCGCAAGCCCCGACATTACTGTCTGGATCAACCCAGCTGCCTGAGTGACGGCTGGCTCTGCCTATCTAGAGACAGAGCCAGCTGTACCCGCCCCCTCCCCCTCCCCCGTCCGTCCTGCCAGTCAGCGCTGGAGGATCTGATAGGGGATGGGGGGGGAATCCCTGCAGGGAACCCTGACAGTCCCAGCTCTCTGCTGGGAAATGATCGATAAGTGAGCGAACACCGGTATGTGTTCGCTCACTTCCCGATCTATTGAGCCGACCTGTGACAGGTTTCATTGTCACCGGTCGGCTAGAACTATGAGGCTGAGTGATTTTCACTCACCTCATAGTTCTCCTTTAATTGTACATTACAGGACACAAGATGGCAATACTGAAACCATCGGCAAAATGAGGGACGGGCAACAAGGCAGACAAATGGCTAAAAAGTCAGAAAAAAATAAAAACAAGGGACAGAGCCCTACAACATATAGGACTGCTTGAATAACCTTACAACCAACCCTGACATCACCTGAGGCCTGAACATCCACCTAATAAAACAGTTGAGTGGAAATATTGCTCCTATTCGACCAGAGAACGTTCGTGGACCATCACCTCATTTCCACTCAACCTTGAGCAATAAAAACTTTACATGCGTTCTAACTGTTCTGCAACTAATAAACAAAAACAAAGTCTCAGCTTTACATAAACTTCAACCCCCCCCTCTATGTTGTGGTTCACAAGCTCCCCGATGAGAGGCTTCTGTACACATCTCCGAAACATTCCTGCCAATAAAGGAAGAATTCTGTCTGCCAGTCTGACATCAGGGACAAAAATCTGTACCACATGTCAGCGAATCGGAATGACTTTTATCCCCTGACTTATACTTTATGAAGACAGGAAATAACGTGTGGGGTTCTTTCTTTTTACAATCACCATATATAAAATTCTATTGTTATTGGGCAAAAAACCACATACACAAAACCTCATAAAACACAACCCATCATACACGTAAAGCACAGACTGTAAACATGCTACTCCATTTATACAGCCATGTGAAGAAAGTAAGTACACCCCTACATTTAGCTCTACTTCAAATCAATTAACCCCTTAGCGACCAGTGACATCCATAGTACATCACTGGCACCGGGCCCGTTTAAACAGTTAGTCGCCGGGACTCTGTTTACATTTGTAAAGCGGTTTACATTCTGGCGTCTCAGCTGTCGCCAGATCGTTTCTCCGGGCCAGTAAACGGGCCGCCCCCCTGCCCAAACACCCCCGCCGTGTTTCCTGGGCTCCGCTGCAGCTCCTATGGGCCCGGGACTGGCTTCTTGGGTGTCGGTGGGAAGTTCTGGAGGAGAGCGGCGGATGTCCATTCTTCGATCCCCTCCCCATACCATGGGACCGGGAGCGACGTGAATCGCATCACTTCCGGTCCCATAGCTGTCAGTGCTGGGCTCCTGAAGCCCAGCAATAACCTTTTGAAGTGCGATCTGCCCTACTATAGCTTATTTCAAGTGTACAGGTGATACTTGGGGCCTTTTTGACCCCCAGCATTACCTTAAAGAGTACCTGTCTTCACCAATCTACTATCACATGGGGGGCTTATAATTCCCCTTATGCGATAGCAATTAACCAGTTGACATCCGCGGTGTTAAACCCCCTTCCCATCCAGGCCATTTTTCAGTATTCAGCGCTGCGGTACTTTGACTGACATTTATTCCGTCATGCAGCGCTGTACTGAAATTAATTTTATACCATTTTTTGGGGACAGATAGAGCTTTCTTTTGGTGGTATTTATTCACCACTGGGGTTTTTATTTTTTTTACTATATTAAGGAAAAATTACCAAAATTTTAAAAAAAAAAACCTGTTTCCCCTATATTAAAATGATAAAACATTTATTATTACCCAATTTTTTGGTAAAATATAAAAGACGGGGTCACGTCCGGTAAAAAGACACCAAACATGTCAAGCCTCAAAAAACGATAATACCCAAAATTGGCCACAGGCGACGCTTTAAAAGCTTTTACCGCTCATCAGTGATTGGTGGCCCTAGAATGATTGCTCTGCGACGTTCGCAGCGATATGTAACGTGTGTAGCGCAATTGTCGTTTTTGCACGCTGGTGCACTGGACGCATATTTACGTTTATATGTGCGTAAACGTGGGGGTGGGGGAGTTAAACATTTTGGGGGTTTTTTTTTAACTTTTTTATATGTGACTTTTTTTTAATTATATATTTTTTTTGCCCTTATTGTTATTGCTATTATATAGGGGATAACAATCTGAAAAAAAATGCCGTCTGGCGACGGCAACCCGCCATTGCAGCAGTGCCGTCCGTCCGTTTTTGTACAACGTTGTAAATAATGTAAACATTTTTTTTAAAGTCCCCTCGTGAGCACACGCGTCATAAAGTAAACACACGTCAGGTGTGCTGATGTATGAAAACGACAATTGCGATATACATGTTGGGTATCGCCTTGCACGCCAGAGTGAGAGCAATAATTCTAGGGCCAATATTGTATATACGCATCTCTAAACTGATGACCTGTAGGGTCTTTTAAAGAGTCGTCTACTGACTTTTTGGGGTAGTGAACCTTGTCGCCGTTTCACAGACGCACGCAATTTTAAACCTTGGCATGTCGGGTATCTATTTACTCGTTGTAACCTCAACTTTTATATTTTATTAAAAAAATATTGAATAATATAAAATTATTTAACATACAAGTTTTTTGTGTGTTATGGGGTACTAAATTTAACTTAAGTGCATTTTTCAGTAAATTTTTGGGTTTGACAATAAGTTGCGCTAATATCGTGCATTTAAATCTGCAACTGCCACCATTTTATTCTACAGGGTTTTGGCTTGCAGAAAATATATAATCTTTGGGGGTTTGAAGTAATTTTCAGGCATAAAATGTGGATTATATCATGGGTGCAAAAAATGAGAAAAAAGGCTTTGGTCATAAAGGGGTTAAAAGGGTAAGTTCACTTTCTTACTAATTGTGAGAAAATTAACTTACCGACACCGCCTCTCCCGCAACCCCTCCCCCGGCCGATGTATGGTCACATCCTTGCAGTATGTAGAATCATAATGCTTGTAAATGGCAAGCGCTCACTGGTCAGCACAGTCACATGACCACGCTGACCAATGAGAAGCACTTCTTAGTTTTAGGGACTGGTACCCAACTCAGAAGCACTTCTCAAAGGTCAACGTGGTCATGTGACCATGCTGACCAATGAGTGCACACCACTTGTGAGCATCTTGCTCATTACATACCGTGGGGTTCATCACCGCGGCCACCGACACCAACGCTGGGGAGGTTTATTATTGCGGCCACCGATGCCAACGCTGAGGGGGGGTTTATTACCGCGGCCACCGGTGGGGGGGGGAGGTTTATTACCGCGGCCACCGGTGGGGGGGGGAGGTTTATTACCGCGGCCACCGGTGGGGGGGGGAGGTTTATTACCGCGGCCACCGGTGGGGGGGGGAGGTTTATTACCGCGGCCACCGGTGGGGGGGGGAGGTTTATTACCGCGGCCACCGGTGGGGGGGGGAGGTTTATTACCGCGGCCACCGGTGGGGGGGGGAGGTTTATTACCGCGGCCACCGGTGGGGGGGGGAGGTTTATTACCGCGGCCACCGGTGGGGGGGGGAGGTTTATTACCGCGGCCACCGGTGGGGGGGGGAGGTTTATTACCGCGGCCACCGGTGGGGGGGGGAGGTTTATTACCGCGGCCACCGGTGGGGGGGGGAGGTTTATTACCGCGGCCACCGGTGGGGGGGGGAGGTTTATTACCGCGGCCACCGACGCCAACGTTGGGGGGGTTTATTACCGCGGCCACCGGGTTACTATTGCAGTGTCTGACACCAAGTCTGCGATGACTGAATCGAGCTCACCCAAGTAAAACCGTCAGTGGAACACCCCTCCTCCGGCCCAATCGGCTTAAACGGGGGCACCCCCCCAACAAGGGGGCAGGGAATGCCCCAGCCACAAATGATTTGGCTGGGACTTGGGTGTATCAATTACAGTTTTGCACAGGCTTGGGCAACTCTGTTCGCACCAAGCCCTCTCATATCGCTAATTTTTAAGTTGGCTGCCTAACTTGATGCAACGCACCTAAACACATGAAAACATGCTACTATTGTGCATCCCCCTGGGAGCATCAGGGGCCATACATGAAGCCCTCCACTGACTTGGAACATGCATAAGACTGGTTGGCTGTGCACTGGCATGTGCGGGACCAGAATACCACAAAGCTTGCAGCTTGTATTCTGCCCACCATGGGATGTGCGCACAGAGGCGTACAGCTTTCTAATTCAAATAAAGTTATTTGAAAAAGAAAAAGAAAAAGCAATACACCTCCCCTTCCTATAGATTAGTCATAGTTGTGACCTGTTGGTAACTAATTGTATTTTGTAATTAATGTAGAAAATGAATTGAGGATTTGGACAACCAGGCAAGGCAATGGAACACAATCCAGACT